GACTGGCCACTAAGACCTCAGGCTTCTGATGGGCATTGCAGGACAAAGACAGTAATGTGGAAGCTGCCACTGCTGACTTTATGAAAGTGCTACCTGCCCACCATGCTGATCATATGGTTTTAATAATATCAGAGTAACTAACCCAGAAAATCATGCAAAAGTCCATATATCCCATCGCACTCCTGACCGGAGAATGCCCAATGTATCAGGGCGGGTGTTTGCCTGAGGAAGGGGCCTCATGGTCCCGAAACGTTGCTAGAGGTGTTATCACTTGGGTCAATAAATTTATTGACTTGATCATTTGGAGTGCCTATTATCAGAAAATCATGCAGGTAAGCACAATTAAACCTTCACTTGCTGCACATTACTATCACGTTATCACCAAAGTCAGAGATGGGCCTGGCAACTAGTAGTTTCGGAAGGACAGCATTCCATGTGTTTCTCCCAAGACACATTTGAATAAACTAACTTTAACATGCGTTAGTGGCCAGTGGCAGGAACTAGAAGGAACAGGAATGATTTCATCAGTGGACAGCATGTGACTGCTTCTATTTTACGTGACACTAGCTCTCAGAGGTACAATACTGGGATGTGAATTTAAAGCCCATTTCCACCTTTGCAGAGGTATTTTTACAAAAATCATATGATAGCAATGTACACCAATTGCACATGAAGCAAACAAATGCAGTTGCTGTATATGAACACAGAAACTTACTTTTTTTTGTCCTCTATGTCCTCCTTCAGCTCCCTTTTAAATGGCCACCTCTGTGCTTTGCAAGAAGTCTGTGTATATCAACACTCTCTGAGCTTCCCCCCTATTAGTATTTATAGTGGCAATAGTGTATTGTGACTTGGAAAGGCAAAGCTGGTGTGCAGTGATTGTGTTATAATGACCAACAGGGAGCGGGTCAGCTGCTTTACAATCCGACCCCAGTGTCAGGTTGTGTTCCTTGTGCTAAAAAGTTTCAATTTGTAGGAGTCAGGCCTACTAAAAAGAGTCCACAGAAATGAAGAAAGCCAGCAATGTGAGTTTTGAAAATGTACACACCAATACAATCACTGCACCTCTACATTACCACAATAAATGCTAGGCACTTACAAAAGTGGGCTTTAAAGAAAAATGCATTTCTGCTAAAAATTGATACAACTGCTACTCTAACAATTGTGTAATTTAATGTTCATAAACTAACCTTTTGCAGGTGCTATCATTTTCCTAAAATAATTAATGCAAAATATATGTTGCGTTGAATGGAAACCTCGAAGTTCTCTGTACACAATGGGTAGAACAGAATTCCCCCAGCAATGTAATTTCCTGCTCGTGTGAATGACTCACTGATTTTCTCTGACGTCTGCACTATGGACATGCCCTGCAACAAGCTATATTCTCCAAGGGTCATACCTGGTACCAGTTGCTATAGTTATAAGCTGATGGCACAGCTTCTGTTGCAGCTACTGGAGCAGCAGACACCACTGCGGCATCTTCTGTATGCAACCTCTTAGCATCCATCTGTTCCAACCTACAAAAAAAAAAAAAAACAGTAAATAGAAAAAAAAAAGTCAGGGATTTTTTTTATATAGCAGTATACTTGGTCAATAAGACAGTGCAATCCTAATGGACAGTAACCAGATTTTATTCAATGTGGATCAATGAAGATTTGTTCTAATGTTGAGAGTACCAAAAACTTTCCAAAAAACATTTTCACCCTTACTGAAGGGACAAAAACTTGCAGTCACTGTAATACTCCGGGGCAAAACAATTCATCAGTACAGCATCACAGGCAATGTCAGTTTAGAGGGACTGTTGTCTTCAGAAATGACATACAGAAGTCTCATTTGTCATCATGATTGCCTGAATGTTGTGTCAGGTGGCCAGATGAATCCACTGGTGACAGAGAAAGCAGGTATTCTGTGATCGGAGATAATCCTCATGGAGCCTCCCTCATCAGTCATCAGCTGGGAAGATTTTTTTTGTTTGCAAACTCAATGAAAACCTTATTACCCAGCAGATCATAGGAGGTAAAAAGAAAAAGAATAAAAAAAAATCAAGCTTAACCATATACATGATTAGAAAATACTATACAGTCAAGTAGCTATGCAGTGTAAATACAAGAAGAGGTTACAAAACTATCATACAGAAACTAGCAGCATGCTGTTGCAAGGAGATCATATTAAGATTTTCCAGTCTCTTCCCTGCTCAGAATTATGCTGTATGGAAAAGTTTATTTACCCTTTTGCCACCAAATCTGCAATTTTTTTTTCTTGCACACGTTAAAAAGGCACATTGTAGGCCGGAAGATTATGCAAACGCCCCAGAAATATGGAGCTCAGAAACTCAGCTTTACACACATAAGTAGACTCCCAGCTACTATATCAGCAGAGTCTGCTTACCGGGCACCGCTGAGGCCACCATATGGCAGAAGGGTTAAAAGGTATGTGTAGCCAAAATGGAAATTGTGATTACTGGACACAGAAGAATCATTTATTATAGTATCTCTCTCGTCAGCATTGGAGATCCCATACCAAGTATCCTGTCTGGTGCAGTCTAAATCCATCCTGTACAAATTCTGTAATACAACGCACTGATTTTACAACGATGGTGATAGATCATTCAACAATTAAGTACCTTGAAAGACTTTGAGAACTCCAAGGTGAGTGATTTTCACTCAACCTCATAGTTGACGCCGACGTGCGACAATGAAACGGTCACAGGTCGGCGGCTCTATAGATCAGGAAGTGAGCGAACGCATACTGTCACTCGCTCACTTCCCAATTGTCTCCCTGGAGTGGTGTCAGTCACAGCTCCCCGCAGGGATTCCCCCCTCCCCTCTACCGCTGAGTGGAGGAATGGATGAGGAGGGGCCGGGCACAGCTGGCTCTACCTCTAGATAGGCAGAGCCCGCTGTCGCTCACGCAGCTGGGTGGATCTCAACAGTCATGTCGGGATCCATCACGGCTGCGGCGATCTCTGTATATAGTAAGCAAAAGCTCGCTATATACTAAGCTTTGGGTCACGGGAGGCAGTTAGTATGTCCTCCCGTGACCCTTGAGAACTATGGGATAAAAAGGTTACCCCATAGTTCTCTTTTAAGGTCACGGAAAATGGTGCCAAATTCAGCGGTCACCCACAGCAACTCTTTTCCATATATTTAAATATTGCAGTTTGCTCTAGATTTAAGTTTCCTTTGCTCTGGTATTTGTAAAACCACCAAACGTGTGCACGAGAAGCCCAAAATCATACCCATTTTCAGACTTCCTCTTCAGATTATCTTGTTCCTTTAATAGTTTCTGATGTTCATCATAGGTGGTCAGCAATCTAAAAGCAAACAATGACATTATCACCTATTTATTTATACACTGCTATTCAGGAGGTAAAAGATAATGGTTTACTCACTTGTTGATATCTGATCCAAAGTCCTCCAAGAACTCCACTTTCCTCTGTGAAAATACAACTCGGGTAGATAATGGCATTGAGCTCTTAATGACTTTATCAAAATGGGACAAGATGTTGGCTTCGTTTTGTTTCACGTCTCCATTGAACTCCAAATCAATCAGATTGAGGTACAACTTTGTGTTTTCCTGCTCGGACAGAATAAAAGACTTGGTGAGACACATTCCAAGGCAACAAAAATAAAATCCATCAATATAGCATCACAGGCAACATCAGCTTAGAGGGACTGTTGTCTTCAGAAATGACATGCAGAAGTCTCATTGTCATCATTATTGCCTGTGTCAGGAGAGGTCAGTTGAACCCATTGGTGACAGAGAAAGCAGGTATTCTGTGATCCGAGATAATGCTTATGGAACCTCACCTGTAATTTAGCTGTGTGGATTTGTTTTTACTGCAACGTGCATATAGCTCAAAAACCAAATACAGGTTGCCCTTGGTTTACAACGGTTCAGATTCAAAATGGCACCCTTTTCTGGGAGTGTTGTAGATTGAAACCAAATATATAATCTAAGTCAATAGGAAGTGAAGGAGTTAGGTTCCAGGCCTCTTGCAAAACAAGGAATGGTTCTAAATAGAAAAACTGGTGTAAGCTGTAACTGAAACATAAATGTAAGCCAGTGGGAAGTGAGGAAGTTAGGTTCCAACCCTCTCTCATTGATATAAATTGACCTAAGTAACATAATACAGGTACATTTTATTTAAAGCTCCTTGTGTGAGCTCATGCAGAAGCTTTAAATATAATCTACCTGTATTTTATTACTTATGTCAATATTAAGAAAGGTCTGGAACATAACTCCCTCGCTTCCCACTGACTTACATTATATACTGGTTTCAATATACAGCGGTTTCTATTTATGACCATTTCATCAGGAACCTAAACCCAGCGTAAATGGAGGGCCACCTGTATATTGTTGCACTTGTTTCTTAAATATAACTAATTTTTTTTTTTTTTTTTTAATATAACCAATTTTCAATGAAATCATACTAGTGAGGTGGATTTACAGACACTTGTAACTCAGTTTAGCACAGTTATCACTCTTTCGACACACTCCTAAAACAGAGTGCAAACAGCTATGCAGATGCATAGAGCACCCATTCCTAAAAATGTACAGATGGATTTGCTCTTCTATAGTAAGGGCCCATTCAGATGGGTGTACAAATCCGTACGACATGCAGTCTGTAAAAAGCTGGGTGTAAACGTTGGTACGGTTTGCATGGCTGGTAAAAAGACCCGATCATGGAAGTAACAGGTGCTGCGTGTAATTGTGCACAACAACCCGTTCTTCTCTATGGGAGGACATGGCTGCACACAATTACATGCAGTCACATGGACCCCCAAACCTGCACATTCGTGTGGGTCCGGGTGTCTTCAACTTGGACGAACACTGTCTGCATCCAAGTGCAGACACCCAGCCTTGCACGGATGTGCAGGTTTGGGTATGCGTGTGACAGCGTGCAATTGCGTGCCGCCGTGTCCTCCCAAAGAGAAGAACAAGCTGCTGCACGCAATTACATGCAGCACCTGTCCCTTCCAGGATCGGGTCTTTTTACCAGGCATGCAAACCGTACCAAACTATACACCCAGCTGAATGAGCCCAAAGAGCTGTTAAACAGATGCTGCAATGTACTGGAACCCAAAATATTAGCTGCAATGTATAATATTATTAGGTGTAGATGCACTAAACACAATTTCTAACACAAGCCTGAAGGCCTATTTATACTATAAAAAAGTAATACTCAGTTAAAAATACATATATAACATTCATTTTGAAAGTCACCCTATCACATAAGTGTGAATCATCTGTTCATTGTGGTGTGCCAAGTTAATACAAAGGCACATGCCCGTGAAAATGGGAAGTCATTCAGAACAATTAGCCTACCTTATTCTAACACAGGTTAACCTGACAAAATGCCACACATTAACATTCGTGTTGTGGCACAATCTGATTGGGTCCTTATACGATGTCTGTAAGCAGGGCAGGATTTTCCACAAGGCCAACCGAGGCCTGGCATCGGGGCAGCAGGGAGCAGAGGGGCAGCAGGGGTGTGGAATTCCTTTCTCTCGGCGTCCGGGACATGCAGTTCCGGGCACCAGACGGGTAGGTTTCCACATTTAGCTCTGCTTTTGGCAAGCAGAGCTAAATGTACAGCGGGGAAGCCGCCGCTTGTTTTGTACAAGTGGTCTTGGCGGTGTCTCCGAGATCATTTGTATGCAGCCTGCATACATGGGGGCGCATTGAGGAACCTGACATTGGGGCAGCAGAGAGGTTAAATATGGCCCTATCTGTAAGCAGCTTATATTAGAGCTAAGCAGAGTGTACTACCTATAAAATCCTACCTCTAATTGATTGGCTACTGGAAAAGTAAATTCTCTAAGCTACTAATTAGTCTAACAGTTGAGAAACCCAAAAGAAAAAAAAAAGTTTCCCATCCTTGCTATCCATACCCATTTATCTCCATCTTACAATTGTCATTTGCTTGATCAAGTAACTCTACACTGACTTGAACTGTACACCACTGAAATTCAATTGCAACTCACTTTATCTCTCTGAATGGCATCATTTAATACTTTCTTTGCATTCCCGATATTCTTCTGAATTTTGGAATAGTGGCGGGAAAGCTTTATTGCATAAAACGAGTATTCACTGTTGGATTTTGCGTTTTTCATGGCCTCCGCCAACAGGTTTTCCGCTTCAATTAGGTTTCCATGTCGCCTTTCAAGGTTCACTCGCCTCAGCCGAACCATCGCCAGGCTGTCAGTGGACTGTTCTAATGTTTTTAAAATATTTTTGGCTTCATCGATGTTACCTATGGAATAAAGGACAATCAAATCAAAAGCTCAAATCTTGATCTTGCATCAAAAATAAAAAATCTGCACGGAGCTTGGATATAATTGCTGCCATCTCCTGCAAAAGAAGTTCAGTTTGTGGGAGGTTTTCACAGGCCCTTATGAAGGTTTTACAGTTGGCGATTGTCATAATTTTAGGCTCTACATCAGCTGTTGACAGAAAGCCTCCCCTGACTGTACCACTGGTGGGCAAAACAGCATGGCCTAGACCATGCTTGCCTACAAAACATACATTTTCCTGCATTACAACTTGAACAAAAAAACACAAATCTGCTAATTACCGATTCTATAAAACACAAAGAACGTGAAAATTGTCTACTTTACAGGGCATGTAAACCCTAACAAGCTTCACTCTTTGTTCTTTTTGTCTGTTGATTATACCATTGAAAAGGGATTTGTTATAGATCTCATAAGTGCAAAACAAAATTGGATTTTTGTACACACCAAAAAGTTCTTTACATTGAGGCCAATGGGGGACACATGAAGTATTTAATCTGCAGGTTATACTGCCACCTACAGAAGGGTTGGACACCAGCAAACAAAAAACTGCAGGCCAGCCCCTCTTACCCCCAGCTTGCCTCAGGTTTTGTAGCAAAGTAGTACCAAGAGCATCATCATAACAGGAGGGTGTGGGACCTGTGTCCCTCAAACTTCAAGAAAAGGATTGAGAACAGTGAGTACAAACATACCACTTTATTTCATGGTTACCGAGGGACACAGGAAGAAGTCTTAAACCTTAGGGACATCTAAAAGCAGTGAATTGGGGGGTGGGCAACACTGCAAACAAATCGCTAACAAGCCCAATGTAACAAAAAAACTGGGACCCATCTGCAGCTATAAAAAGCTGACTGAAGGACCTGACACCCAAATTTGGCATCAGATGAGCCCAAAATGTCCACCTGGTAGGACTGTGAAAACATGTAAACAGAAGACCGGGTAGCAGTTACACATAAAGCAAACCATTGCATAATGCTGAAAAGACCAAGAGGCACTCAAAGACCTATTGGAATGAGCCTTAACAGGGAAGAAGGGAACCTAGTCTGTGAGACTGAGCATCAATGATGGACTGAGCCACCTAGAAACAGGGAACATGAAGCTGGGGCACCGTTTCAGAACAAAAAAGAAATGGATCTTTGTGAAAGAAGCAGTTGCTGAGAGACTCATATAGCCCAAAGCACAGTCAGACAGGGGAGGGAAAATTCCTTTTGATGAAAAGAGAACTGGACAAAGGAATGTAATAATGTCTGTGCTAAGGTGAAAGGCAGACACTGCCTTAGACAAGAAAGTCCTGGGCTACAATACCACCTACTACACTCCTTCACAAAGCTCCTAAATCAAAAGACTGAAAGGCCATCAGTCTCTGAAACTGAATGGAAAGAACAGAGAGTTGACATTTGATAGTGTTGACACAAATGCTGGTCCAGACCCAGCTGAAGGAAGGAGATGATTTATCCCACAAAAAAAACTGTGCGATGAAAGCCACTAGAGCAAAAGAAGTAAGCCTCCAAGTCTGATAATAGACCTTGCAGAAAGCAGGCTTCCTAGCCTTCAGCATTGTAAGAATCACAGACTTGGAGGTCTCTGTTCCTTAGAACATGGGCTTCGACAGCCATGGTGTTAAAGCCAGCCACTGTAAAGGACAGTGGCAAATTTGTCCTTGGAGCAGTAGACATGGACAATGTGGTAGGTCCCACAGTGTGTCTGCTAGAATTCTTTCAAGGTCAGAGAACTACAACCACCTGGGCCAATCCAATTCTGCAGATCAGGTGAGGTCGTATTTTCTGGGAACCACGCAACCAGAGCATCCACTGGTGAATGCCTAAACCTGGATACAAACCTGTCCAACTTGTTAAACCAGCAGGTCTATATTAGGCATCACCCACCTGTGACAGGTCCTGGAACACAATCTCCCGGGTCCAGGCGCTGCTGGCTGAGAAATCTCAGCTTGCCAATTGTCAACACCTGGAATTTAAATGATCCTCAGGACAGGATTAGCTTTACTTTGCTTGCCACAGCAAGACTTCTGATTCCTTCTTGATCATTGCCACCGCTGTGGCACTGTCAGACTCCAAATCGAAAGGCCTTCCAACAGGTTTGTCCAAAGCTTCCAGGAAAGCCAAATTGACCAAACAGATAGCCACACTGACAGAACACTGCATTGTAGAGTTCTGGAGTGAAACCAAGCAAAGGAAACAGCCACAAGGAAGGCTACTATCAGTCCCAAGACTCCCATGCAAAAGCAGAGTTGGATGGCTTCTGAACTGAAGAGACTGTAGAGAATGGGAAACCCTTTTGGCCTGATATGCGAGCAGGACCAGATCCAGATACTCCAAGTGATTAATCTATGCCAGCAACAATTTGACGTTCAGGATCCACCCAGGAATGTTTGAAAATAGAAATGCAAGAAGGGGGTAGTAAACAAAACTCATGTCATGTTTGTGGCAAATCTTACAGAGAATCTGCAGGAGAGGGAATGGGAGCACATTTGTGGCCCCTGCAATCAGAGTCCATACATAACTGGGTGACTTGGGATAAAGTAATGCATGATCATAGTAAAAAGTACAGCCAAAAGGGAAGAGGGTCCAGCCTCACCCGACAGAGCTAAAGAATATACCGAGGGCAGAACAGGGTTTAAAAACAGTGCAGTTAGTAAAGATATCCATCTTCCTAAGAGGAAAAAAAAGAAGAAAGCAAGCAAAGAAGGAAAAAGAAAGCGAGGAAAGAAGAAAGGAAGCAAGGAAGAAGAAGAAAGGAAGCAAGGAAAAAGAAGAAAGGAAGCAAGGAAGAAGAAGAAAGGAAGCAAGGAAGAAGAAGAAAGGAAGCAAGGAAGAAGAAGAAAGGAAGCAAGGAAGAAGAAGAAAGGAAGAAGAAGAAAGGAAGGAAGAAAAAGCATGCTAGGTAGGAGTTATACCCTGGGCTGGTCTACAGTTTTGTTTTCCAATGTTCAACCCTCCTATAAGCAGCAGTGTAACCCAAAGTTTAAGTCTTCCGGTGTCCCTCAATGGAGGAGGAGAAAGAAATAGGACTGTTGATGCTGCCACAAATCTCATATTTAATCCGATAACTTCCTGTGCTCTGTGCTGCATTCTCATCAGTTAAACTGTTCCAAGATGTATGAAGACTAAAGAACCCCTCCCTCTCTGTTATATCTGTTATAGATGATGGGTGACCATTGAAAGTGTTTTTTTATATCAGTTGAGGTAAATTAAAAAAAAAAAATATGGTGATTCTCCCAAAAATCTTGCGTGCTAAAGTCCTGTGTTCTCAGCCTGTGCAGACGATTGCCAATTACATCATTCCACGTTTTCTCTGTGAGCCCCAAAACACCTACAACCTAGGTCATGGCTAAAAGAGAGAGTTTTCCTGGAGTGACAACTCTGCTCCTACATAAATAAATACAGTAAGTGAGCATTGTTACCCTGGGAAAGAAAGTGTGCTACTGGCAAAACCGCGAGGAAATTAATAGTTACAACATCTAAGGATTGGTAAGCTGCAATATATACATTTTGTTCTGGGTTTAGATATGCTTCAAAGCAAACCCAACTTAGTTAGCAGTGGGAGTTTTTTTTTTTTTTTGTCTTTTAAATTTGCTACCAAATATCCAGGGATCCCATGATCTTAATCTCAAATGCATACTGGTTTGAAACCATAATATTGCAGGGAATGGCCACAAAGTAGTACCTTTCAAAGAACAGGTTGTTTTGCTGTTGTCATCTTACCTTGTTGTTCCTCAAATGCAGCCCACAGTAAGTGAGCCAAAGGCTTCCTCTGTAGATGGATGGTGCAAGCCCGAGTGTAGACATGTCTCGCCCCCTCAGCACTGTGTCGTTCCATGTACTTGGCATACTAAGACAAGAGAGGGACAATCACCATTAATTTCACCAAGAACAAAAGAAATGTAAAACGTGAACAATATAATTCTTGTTTTAAACCCATTCAGCACCTTTATTGAACCACTAGACTAGACTCTGTAAGGAAGGGCGAAGAGAGGCAACGCTGTTGGCATATGTAGCGGTCAAATCTGGTTGCAAGCAGACCATCCCCCTAATGCAATAGATAGTTATAGATAAACAGAATTCAAAAATACAGGGTTAGGAACGAATTCAATGCGTCAGAATTGGGAGGACATGAAAGAGGAGATGATTGTAGGGAGGCTTACCTTGATCCAAAACTCCTCATAGAGGGCGCAGGCAATGACGCATCTCTCAAACAGGATCACTACACGCTCATGTGACCCATTCTCCATCTCCAACTCCAAATATTCTTTCCAGTTATTCAGCTGGATTTTCTCCAACGCTTTTACGTGAAAGTAGGGCCGTTTAATCTAAAATAAAAAGAATGTGTATGGATGACGACGGGTAAAACAGAATGGAAGATGAATGATCTAGAACTCCTAACTTCATCATAACATATTTCAGGACAAGGAATGGTTTTAAACTCTGCCATGACAGAAGTAAAGCGGAGAGGAGTTTGTGGCAATGCAGTAACAGAATCTACATGATAAACAACTCAATCCTATCAATGCAAATACAATTCACTATGACAAGCTTTAAAGTCTAACTCTGGAAATCCCCCCCATGGGTTTATAGTCCTGGCGCAGAGTATGTCAAGATTTGTGGCCAATTTGTGCTTGGGAATACTTTCAATATCTCTTACTCAGTAAAAATGCTGTGTTTAGTTCTCACACTGCAGAGCTCTGTGCTGACAGAGCTCAGCAACAGCTACACCCCTCAGCAGAAGCCTCCTGACACAGAACACAGGGAAGGGGGGAGTGGAGCATGTCTGACCAGGTCTCTGCAAATTACAGAATGCACCAAGTCTTTTATGGTGCCTATTACACCACAAACCCATAATTTAGCCAAACTGCACAAGCGCTTCAACAGGAATTTAACATGGAGGTTGTTAGTACAATGCTTATTTGACTGCATATTGATTTCTGGTGACTTCTGTTTGGCTATAACAGCCGTGGTGAAGGGGTGCAGGGACAGCAACATGGATGATGACGGTTAAACACCATATCACATTTTCCTAAAATGTCTCCATCTTACTATCTTACTTATGAAAAGTGCCAATTCCTAAATGCCGTAAGCTATAGCAATCAATCAGAATGCACTCTGCTGAAGTCATAGCAGTGTATGATGGATTCTAAAGAGTGTCCAGGGTTACTGCAGAGAAGATTGTCTGCAGTATAAAGAGTGCGTCTTAAAACCCAATATTTTGAACATCTGCACCACCAGACTGACCATATGCGAGATTTGTGTAATCCAGTGCACACAAGCCTCAAAGAACTCCAATAAACACTACTTACACGTATTTCATGTATAATAATGCTATACAACAAAAAAAAAAAACACCTCTGTGGGAAACAAAAGTCTCATTCATGAGACTAGCAACAGTCACCAAACATTGCTCCAAACCAGCAGTCTCCGGCACCAAAACTGAAGTGTGTTCGGCATTACTACCAATGATCCTAAAGCAGGGCCTTGGCTCAGACAGAAAATGTTACCATACATCTAGTTTAGGATTTTGTCTGGTTTGGGTATTAAGAAACGCATACGAAACTAATAGGTTGTTATAATAGAGGGAACTAAACACCTCTTATCCAACACTATAACCAAGAGTTCTAAAATGCCCCTGGAATTGCTCAAACAATATCAGGCTTTCTGTGCACTATGTCCAAGTCCTGGATGGCTGAGCAGGAAACGTTTATGATCGTTATTGCGTTGCTTCTGCATGTAAACTTGAACTACTGAAATAATTAGGGATGCACTGATACTTTTTTTTTCAGTACTCGCAGACACGGGAAATCCCATTAAGGAAGCTGGGCGGCATGTAATGACTCACCACCCAGCTTCCTGGTCAGCTGGATCCATGCTACCTCGTCACAAGGTGACGAGGAAGCATGGAGCCGGCTTTCTGGCCAATCAAGAAGCCGGCGAAGGGAAGGTAACGTCTCGCCGCCCGGCTTCCTAATTGGCCAGTTTTCCCAACCAATCAGGAAGCCGGGGAGCGAGTTATTACACGCTGCCCGCCTTCCTGATTGGCCGGAAAGCCGGCTGCTAGCTCTTTCGTCACCAAGTGACTCGGCGTTCAGCTTCCCGGTACTGGAAGTTCCGGTATCGGGCATAGTATCAGAGCATTTGGCGGAGCATACTCGCCTAAGTACTCAGTACCGTTGCATCCCTAGCAATAACAAATCACCCCTGATACAAGAAACAGCTTCAGAATAACGCACTAGAATTGTCCATTCAACAAAAATGTACTACATTTAAAACAATACTTACGCCTTCCTCAAAGGTCCACCTCTTATGGACTTCATTCTCATTGAGGTTGAATATTTCTTGATGCACCTCAATAATTCTATGTCGCATGTTTTCGACTTCTGTCGTGCGCTAAGAAAACAAAACCAATATTAATACAGATGAACATGTATAAGTCTAAAGCTTACTAAGTAGCCCTAAAGGTCAGTCCACCCAAAAGATTTCAGATTTTGGACAAAGACCAGCAGCTTGGATCATCTACCAGCTTCATATGGACAGGTCTCATTCATTACGCTGGATTTCCACTTACTGTACTGCTGAGGTCCCAAAGGGCTGAAATCATCCTGTCCAAAAGGCAGTATCCTGGCTCAAAAGGAGCACATATAAATCAGGAGTTCTGACATCACTTGTTGCCTGCCTGTTCTAGGTCAGTGACTCAAAAACTGAAGTCAGGCAGCCAGAAATGAGGATTTTCCTGAGAAAAGTAGCAGTCCATAGATTTTCTCCCAGCACAGTTTTACTTTGAGTAGTCCACCCAAGTATATTTGCAGCCCACCCCTGTCCAACTTAAAAAAGGTTATCACCACATGTTCCCCTGCCGCTATGGAAACACCATGATGCAGTGCTGAGGCCAACAGGTTAATAATGCCTGGAAAACGTCATAAGCCCTGACAACATTCTGTCATCAAATCACATAACACAGACCAGAGCAGCTCACCTTTGCTGGGTCAGTTATCTCCTCCAGGCCAGTCGGGTAATCCGCTTTTACTCCACTTTGTTGTCTCATCTCAGCCAGCTCTTGTCGCAGCTCAACAAACTTTTCAGACGTTAAGAAATCTCTAGGCAGATTTCCCTGAATGTGATCTTTAAACCTAGATGGAGAATTCAGTACAGTGTTTGTGTCTATACCAAACAATAATACATATCGAATAAAGGAAGGAAGGTTTATACAACCTACTATTCACTCAATCTGTAAAGCAGCATTTCATGTCCAGGGGACTCTCCTTCACCCCCCATGAAAATGAACTCTGCAATCTGTTAATGACAGCGGAGTGCATAGTTAGATGGCCAGCAAGCTCAGCTCAAGCACAATTCTCTAAAAAACAAACATTCTTTTTAAGCCATTACGGCAAAAAGGCAGCAATCCACAAATCTGGGTGGTAGTCCTGGTAATGCCAGCCCACTGCTATGGATTTGTAGCTATTAGTACAATGCCTACTCTGCAACCCGCCAATCACTCAAGCACTAAAATAAACCCCAACATGGGAGTCTATGGCAGGTGATTGCAGCTTTTGTGTCGGGCACCAAGACCTATTCAGAGGAGCCAAGGTGTGTAACACTCAGAGGCAGATGACTCAGAAGCAAAGTTATTAAAAGTTGAACTCCAAGCAAACATCTTGTATTTATAATTGACATATTTGTGATTTGAATACCTCTTACACAATGAACAGCTAAGTACCTAGTCAGCCATAATTTCTGGTTCAAGTCAGGTGGCTTCCTGTATCACCTGACAACACAAACTATGAAATTGTAGTTTAAGCAGCTGTGGACACTGGCCACGCTAGATACCCCCCAAATAACTTAACTGAAGTACAAAAAGGAGTATGTAGTACATCCTGCCACCGCTGCCTCCCTCACTGGCAATTCTCAGCTGCCAAAATGATAGCTGGGTGCAACGACAGCAGCTACTACAGCAGATCCTG